TTAAGTTATTCTTGCTTAAAGTTATAAAAAAATTTTATTATAAAAAATTTGCTTGATTTCTATTGACTCACCCCCATTTAGTTAAGCTAGTTACTGACTTATTCTTTATTCTTTCTATTACTAAAGCTTGGAAGAGAATAATCTAGTATTTTTTAGAATTTTCCCACGATGAATGGTCTCTTGAACATTTTACCAAATAGGTTTTTGAAAACTGCTAATATCTAAATATAAGATATGTCTATTATATATTTTACACTATCTTAAATATTATTTCTAATAATATAGAAGCCTTAGTTGAAGTTTGCACTGTAGCCAAAAATTGTACAAAGAATAAAAGAGTAAGTATAACAAGTAAATATAATATAATAGGTTTGTTTTTAACACAAGTTTCTTTAGCTAATTATAAAGGTTTACTGATTTTGAAAAAGGAATCAATCATGCATCTTCTTTTATATATATGTTAAAGAATTGTTAATCTGCTTAATTTTAACTATTGCTATACTTGATACCAAAAAGCCAATAAAGAGCTCATTTGCTCTTTTGGCATACTGGATTATATCTCAATACAGCAATATGTCAGCTTTTGCAAGCTAGACTATTTGTTGTATTTTGTATATTGCCATTCTGATTTTAGTTGTTGCTTACTATGAAAAATATTTTTTATTTTTTTTTTTTTTTATATAGTTTGATATTAAAATATTAAACAATATCTGGAACAGTAATAGTAACAAACAAAGCTGGGACAACTATACTGAAGATGTTGAAGATATCACAAGTAACTTATCAAAGAGAGTAAAACAGACAAACAAAAGTTCAATTACTCTTAATATAGAATTTGAAAAAGCTTCTAGCAGTTTATTTAAAAACTTTTCTGGTTCATCTGAAAGCTTTCTTGGTTTATCTATAAACTTTTCTGGTTTATCTAAAAACTTTTTTGATTTATCTGAAAACTTTTCTGGTTTATCTAAAAACTTTTTTGGTTTATATATAAACTTTTTTGATTTATTTAAAAACTTTTTTAGTTTATTAGAAAGCTTTTTTGGTTTATCTAAAAACTTTTCTAATTTATTTGAAAACTTTTCTGATTTATCTAAAAGCTTTCTTGATTTATCTAAAAACTTTTTTAATTTATCTAAAAACTTTTCTGATTATTTAATCGAAGTATCTATTAATTGCGAAGTATTTGCTATTTTTATTAGTACTGCTAGACATAAAAAAAATCTGCAACACTTTCTTAAATTTAATAATATTACTATTGTTTTACATGAAGGTTTTGTTAATGATACTACAGACAAAACACTTATTGTATTAACTGAACTTTTTACTAGCTCTATAAAAGTTTCAAATAATATTATTACAGATAACTTAAATAAAGTACCTGTTATTATAGATGAGACTAATGTATTACCAAATCCTGTAAATAAAATATTTGTTGTATTAACTAGACCTTTCACTAGCCTTATAAAAGCTCTGAATGATATTGTCATAAATAATTTGAATAAACCAATATATTACCAGACTCTATAAATAAAACATTTGTTGTATCAACTAGACTTTCTACTAGCCTTATAAAAGTTCCAAATAATAGATAATGTTATTATAGATAATTTGAATATTATTATAAATGAGACTAATACATTACCAGATCTTATTAATGAAAAGTTTATTATATCAACTAGATCTATAGAAGTTCTAAACAATATTGCTACAAATAACTTAAATAAAGTACCTGTTATTACAGATGAAACCAATGTATCACTAGATCTATAAATGAAATATTTGTTGTATTAACTAAACTTTCTATTAACTTTATAAAAGTTCCAAATAATATTGTCTTGAATAAAAATACTGGCTATTACAAATAAAACTAATATATTACCAAATTCTGTAAATCTCATTAATTTAGACAAAACAATGTCTTTAGCTATAAGTAATTTTGCAAATCTCTCTAATTTAACATCTCTAGTCATAAGCAATAATACAAAATCTGATACAATATCTAGATACAGTTCTATGTATAAAGAAAAAAATAAAAAAATAGTCGAACTTCTTATTCAAGAATTAAGTGATTTCACTTCAGAGAATGAATACATACTAGTCAATAAACTTCATATGAATATTCCTAAAGATACTTATAATTTATTATATTTTCAGTTCATCAAATCTGAAATAGATGAGAAAAATATAAAGAATTCAAATCACCAGGCTATTTTTTCTAATTTTAAATTTGGAGAAAAACTTTTTAAAAAACTTGAAACTTTAAAAAAACACTGTAATGATTATAATGCATGAATTTTTCACTTAATTTAGAAATAGAGAGTTAATTTTTTACTTTTAGTTCTTGGAAAGTATAATGAAAAATGAGTAAAGCTAGAAAGATTTATACAATTTTTAAAGAAATTGAAGATAATAAAATTTATCAAGTCAAGATTACAGTTTTAATATTTGTAAAATTGACTAAAAATGATATTAAAAATATAACTAGAGTGTAACTTTGTAAAAACACATATTGTATAAAAGATTATGACTTAAACTTTTTTAAATTATAGTATTACTAAGTGTTTTGTTGGTCAATAGTATCAAAAATCAATAATTTCAATTAAGAAATTTTAAATAATTAAGAAACTAGATAGAATAGATTGAATAAAAACAATATATCAGTCTAGTAGTTATATTTACTATTATAAAGATTAAATTTATTAAATTGTAAATAATAAACTATTTGACAAAGTTTTCTAGTAGAAATGCTTATAATAATAGTTTTTAGAAAAGCAAAAACTTTTTATAAAAATTGAAACTTTATTAATTATATAATTTTTATTTTTATTTTTTATTGTCGATTACTTTATAGCAATGTTAGCAATTTTTTTAACCTTTGGCTAGCCAATTAGCCAATAGTCAAACTTTGACCAAAGTTTCTAACTTTACAATATTAACCAATCATATTACTAGCTTTGCTATACAAAATATTTGGTGGTTTCGGCCAAATAATTTTCTTGCCCTTTGATTGTCTACATCAGAAACCCAGAATTTATATAATATGAATTTGTAAATTATGTGTGTGATAAGTAAAACATTTAAATTTAATTGATATATACTCAATTTATCTTGTAAAAAAAAACTTTGCACTTTTTTAAATACTGTACTTAACTAAACCAAAAAATGTAAATTTTTATTAACTATAGCTGCTGCAACAAAATTGGACTGGCAGATTCTCGATTTTGATTGGCTAATAGCTAAGGATTTTCAAAATTTTGCCACATTACAAATTGTTTATTAATTTCTAGCTAGAATTAACTTTTTAATTTTTTTATTACAAAAATAGAAATTTTTATAAAAATAAATCCAACAAAAAGTCAGAAAAATTAATGATGATAATAGTTATATCTACAAATGAATATTAAAAAAAATAAGATAAGTAATTTTATAATAATATTTAAAATTTTTATTTATTTTAGATTAATAAATAAATAATATTCTAAAACAGAAAGAAACTATTATCTATACTTATTTTTAAATTCATTCATTTATCATTATTTTTTATATTTAGATTATTTGTTTAGATTGTATAGTTTATTCTTCTTTTTTTGTTTCTATTTTTTTTTTTACTCTTTTTTCTTATATTAGTTTGATATTTAGTTTGGAAAAATCTTTGTTAGAATCTAAGTAGAAAAAATTTAAAGAAAGAAATAGTCATAACAGGCTACAAAATCTAGTTAATGATTTTTTTTAAAAGAACTAGAGAGACTAATTGGGCATTAAAATAAATTTTGTCTTGTAGGTAATATATAAATATCTATAATAACCAGATACCTGATAATTACTTCTTCAACAACTACCCATCTTCTACACAACTACTTATATACCTGATAACCATTTATCTAATAATTATTCTCTTTTTTAATAACTATTCTCTTTTTAATAACACTTTTTTTCTAATACTATTTTTCTAATATAAACACTTTTAAAATATTTTTCTATAACTTTTTATTTCTAAACAATAATTTTTATAATTTTATTTATCTTTCTTTTTTAATTGTTTAAAAAATAATAATAAAAAAAAAACATTGATTAAATTAAAAAAATAAAAATAAAAATTTAAATTAAAAAAAGATATTATTTAAATTAAAAAAAAAAAATTGAAATTAAAAAAAAAGCATGTTTATTGTGGTTTGCAAAATTATGTGAAATTTGCAGATTAAAGATAAAAAATTAATAAGTATTAATTTCAGAAATCATTGATTTTTTTTTTTGATTTGCAAATTTCATATAATTTTTAATTTTGCAAATTGCAATAATTAGTTAAAAGAATCATTTATTATAAATTATTTAAAAATAAAAAAAAATAATTAAAAACATTATTTATATATATAAATCAAATCTAATAAACTTTTTTTATTTATTTTAATTTTGCAATTAAATTAAAAAAAATGATTACCAAAATTAATTCTAAATCAACTCTTCTTGACAATCATTTGGACCAACTTTTTAAAAACCAAACTTTCAACAAAAAACAGTAAAACTATATTAGAGAAGAAGGATATAAGATTAACGAAAACTATAAACCGGTGGCTGTTATTTAGAAATAGTTCTCATACACTATCTGCTAATAGTTTCAGAGCTTATTACTCACCGTGGGAATGGCACTTATTATTTAG